CCCTAGATATCCTTCTGAAACTGTCTCCTCCAACTTACCAAAAAGCAAAGCTGGAGCCAGTTGTGGATAAAATACCTATATGTATAAATGGAGTAGGGTTCTGGCAAGTCTTGGGTGATCAGCTTCATCAGGCATGGGCAAATTTTGGCTCTCCAGGTGTTTTGGACTTAAACCAGCTGTTAGGAATTGTGGGACTTGGAAGACTGGAGGGCCAAAGTTTGCTCATGCTCGGCTTCATGGTAACTGCCATCTACAGCTTGGATTAATAGCAAATTAGGTGCAGAATCTGGCTTCCTAGGCAACTTTTTCACACTCATCCACCCTTCCCCAACCTGTATAACCATTAACTCTCTCTTTTCCCCATCCCTACATATCCTTCTGACAGTGGCTCCTTCTTTATCTCCTCCTCCACTGACTCAACCAAAAGCAAAGCTGAAGTCGGTTGTGGAGAAAATACCTATATGTGCAAATGGAGTAGGGATCTGACAGATCTTTGGTGATCAGTTTCATGTATATCTGCCATCTACATCATATATATCTCAAATCTACATTAATAGCAAAACATGCCCGGCGAGACCACTTCTTGCACACTATCCACCCTTCCCCAACCTGTACAACCATCAACCTTCCCTACATCTCCTCCTTACACCATCTCCTCCTCCAACTTACCAAAAAAGCAAAGCTGAGGCCAGTTGTGGATAAAATACCTATGTGTGTAAATGGAGTAGGGTTCCAACAGATCTTTAGTGATCAGCTTCATCACACATGAGACAACTTCGGCCCTGCCGGTGTTTTGGACTTCAACTTCCAGTATTCCTAACAGCCTACCAGATGTTAGGAATAGTTAAAGGAATAGTTAAAGTTGAAGTCCAAAACACCTGGAGGGCCTGAGGTTGGCCCATACTGGTTTCATGGCATCTGCAATCTAATAGCAAATTAGGTGCAGTAACTGGCTTCCTAGGCAATTTTGTTCCACACTGATCCACTCAACCTGTGTACCTGTTAACCTTCCCTTTGTGCTACATATCCTTCCTTATCTCCGCCCTCGACTTACCAAAAAGCAAAGCCAATGCTGCTTGTGGATAATATATATATATATGTTTAAATGGAGTAGGGTTCTGACAGATCTTTGGAGATCGGCCTCATCAGGCATGGGCCAACTTTAGTCCTCAAGGTGTTTTGGACTTCAATTACTGGCTTTTATGAAAAGTGGGAGTTGAAGTCCAAAACACCTGGAGGGCCAGAAAGTTGGCTTATGGCTAGCTTCATGGTATCTGCCATCTAATAGCAAATTAGGTGCAGATCTTGGCTTCCTGGGCAACTTTGTTCCATGCTGATCCACCCTTCCCTGACCCATATAACCACCAACACTGTCTCCTCCTGTGTCATCCACTCCTAACTTACCAAAAAGCAAAGCTGAGGCCAGTTGTGGATAACACACCTATATGTGTAAATGGAGTAAGGTTCCGACAGATCATTGATCAGCTTCATCAGGCATCGGTCAACCTGGGCTCTCCATTTGGCTGTTAGGAATTGTGGGAGTTGAAGTCCAAAATATTTGGAGGGCCCAAGTTGATCCATGCCTAGCTTCATAGGGAAGCCAAGCTGAGGCTGGCTGTATGTGTAAATGGAGTAGATTTCTGAGAAATCTTTGGTGATTGGTCTCATGGATATCTGCCATCTACATCATGTGTATCTTCTATCTACATCTTGGATTAATAGCAAAACATGCCCGGCGAAACAACTGCTTGCACACTATCAACCCCTCCCCAACCTGTGTAACCATCAACCCTCCCTACATATCCTTCTGAAGCCGTCTCCTCCCCCGACTTACCAAAAAGCAAAGCTGAGGCCAGTTGTGGATAAAATACCTATATGTGTAAATGGAGTTCCATGTATATCTGCCATCTAGATCATGTATATCTCCTATCTACATCTTGGGTTAATAGCAAAACATGCCTGGCGAGGCCACTTCTTGCATGCTACCCACTCTTTCCCAAACAGTATAACCACCAACCCTCCGTACACAGCCTTCTGACACCATCTCCTCCCCTGACTTACCATCACGTATACCTCCCATCTTCATTAATAGCAAAACATGGCCAGCCAGGCCACTTCTTGAACACTACCCACACTTCTTTGGTGACTGGTTCCACATATATCTGCCATCTACATCATGTATATCTCCATCTTGGATTGATAGGAAAACATGCCCGTCGAGGCCACTTTTTGCACATTACCCAACCTTCCCCAACCAGTATAACCATCAACCCTCCTTATATATCCTTCTGACACTGTCTCCTCCCCTGACTTACCAAAAAAGCAAAGCTGAGGCCAGTTGTGGATAAAATACCTATATGTGTAAATGGAGTAGGGTTCCGACAGATCTTTGGTGATCAGCTTCATCACACAAGGGCCAACTTTGGCCCTCCCGGTGTTTTTGACTTCAACTTCCAGTATTCCTAACAGCCTGTCAGCTGTTAGGAATACTAAAAGTTGAAGTCCAAAACACCTGGAGGGCCTGAGGTTGGCCCATGCCTGGTTTCATGGCATGTGCAATCTAATAGCAAATTAGGTTCAGAATCTGGCTTCTACACAAGTATCCTTCCTAAATCTGTGTAACCATCAACTTTCCCTTTTTGCTTTCTTATCTCCTCCCATGAATTACCAAAAAGCAAAAGCCAACGCTGCTTGTGGATGAAATACCAATATGTGTAAATGGAGCAAGGCTCCGACAGATCTCGTATATCTCCAATCTACATTAATAGCAAATCATGCCCAACGAAGCCACTTCTTGCACACTACCCACCCTTCCCCAACCTGTATAACCACCAACCCTCCGTATATATCCTTCTGACACCGTCTCCTCCCGCGACTTACCAAAAAGCAAAGCTCAGGCCAGTTGTGGATAAAATACCTATATGTGTAAATGGAGTAGGGTTCCGACAGATCTTTGGTGATGAGCTCCATCAGGCATGGGCCAACTTTGGCCCTCCCGGTGTTTTGGACTTCAACTTCCAGTATTCCTAACAGCCTGCCGGCTGTTAGGAATACTAAAAGTTGAAGTCCAAAACACCTGGAGGGCCTGAGGTTGCCCCATGCCTGGTTTCCCTGACCCATATAACCACCAACACTGTCTCCTCCCCTGTCGTCCACTCCCATCTTACCAAAAATCAAAGTTGAGGCCAGTTGTGGATAAAATACGCATATGTGTAAATGGGGTTTCATTTATATCTGCTATCTACATTCTGTATATCTCCTATCTACATCTTGGATTATTAACGAAACACTTCTTGCATACTACCCACCCTTTCCCAACCTGTATAACCATCAACCCGCCCTACATAGCCTTCTGACACCATCTCCTCCCTCGACTTACTATCATGTATACCTCCCATCTTCATTAATACGAAAACATGCCCAGCGAAGCCACTTCTTGCACACTACCCACCCTTTCCCAACCTGTATAACCATCAACCCTCCTTATATATCCTTCTGACACCTATACGTGTACATGGAGTAGGGTTCCAACAGATCTTTGGTGATGAGCTCCATCACGCATGGGCCAACTTTGGCCCTCCCGGTGTTTTTGGACTTTAACTTCCAGTATTCCTAACAGCCTGCCAGCTGTTAGGAATACTAAAAGTTGAAGTCCAAAACACCGGGAGGGCCTGAGGTTGGCCCATGCCTGGTTTCCCTGACCCGTATAACCATCAACACTGTCTCCTCCCCTGTCGTCCACTCCCATCTTACCAAAAATCAAAGTTGAGGCCAGTTGTGTAAATGGAGTTTCATGTATATCTGCCATCTACATCATGTATATCTCCTCCACACTACCCACCCTTCCCCAACCTGTATAACCATCAACCCTCCTGATATATCCTTCTGACACCGTCTCCTCCCCCGACTTACCAAAAAGCAAACCTGATGCCAGTTGTGGATAAAATACCTATATGTGTAAATGGAGTAGGGTTCTGACAGATCTTTGGTGATGAGCTCCATCACACAAGGGCCAACTTTGGCCCTCCCGGTGTTTTGGACTTCAACTTCCAGTATTCCTAGCAGCCTACCGGCTGTTAGGAATACTAAAAGGTGAAGTCCAAAACACCAGGAGGGCCTGAGGTTGGCCCACGCCTGGTTTCACGGCATGTGCAATCTAATAGCAAATTAGGTACAGAACCTGGCTTCCTAGACAACTTTGTTCTGCGCTGATCCACCCTTCTCTGACCCGTATAACCACCAACACTATCTCCTCCCCTGTCGTCCACTCCCATCTTACCAAAAATAAAAGTTGAGGCCAGTTGTTAATAAAATACCTATATGTGTAAATGGAGTAGATTTCCTTCGGATATTTTGGACTTCAATTCCCACTATTTCTAACAGCCTACCAGCTATTAGGAATTGTGAGAGTTGAAGTCCAAAACACCTGGAGGGGCCAAGGTTGGCCCATGCCTGGCTTCATGATATGTGCCAGCTGTCACGAACAGTGGGAGGAGAACCACAAAACACCTGGAGGGCCTGAAGTTGACCTATGCCTGGCTTCATGGTATCTTCCATTTAAAAGCAAATTAGGTGCAGAACCTGGCTTCGTAGGCAACTTTGTTCAGAATGATCCATCCTTTCTCAACTTGTATAACCATCAACATTCCCTTTTCCCTACATATCCTTCCTTACCTCCTCCCCTGACTTACCAAAAAGCTAAGCCAAGGCTGGTTGTGGATCAAACACCTATATGTGTAATAGGTGCAAAAGGTGTGTAATATGTGTAATAGGTGCAAAACATGCTCCTTCATCTGTATAACCATCAACCCTCCCTACATAGCCTTCTAACACCATCTCCTCCCCCGACTTACCATGGATATCTGCCATCATGTATACCTCCCATCTTCATTAATAGCAAAACATGGCCACTTCTTGCACACTACCCACCCTTCCCCAACCGATATAACCACCAACCCTCCTGATATCTCCTTCTGCCACCGTCTCCTCCCCCGACTTACCAAAAAGCAAAGCTGAGGCCAGTTGTGGATAAAATACCTATAAGTGTAAATGGAGTAGGGTTCCGACAGATCTTTGGTGATCAGTCTCATGATATCTGGCATCTGCAGCTCGGACTCGTAGCGCACATATCGTATCGTGGGGTCCTCCTCCTCCTCCGCTTGCCCCGAAGGCCAGGAAGAGTCTGTGGCGGCGGTGGGGGGCCCGGTGGAGCATTTCTGTGCCAAAGACCTGGAGAGGAGGAGCAGGGACTCTTGTTCTTCGTCGTCTTCGTCGTCCTTGTCCTCGCTGTCGTCCCCTTCTTCGGCTCCCAAGGCCAGCCCGTTCCTGTCCCGGTGGTGGTGCTGGGCAGTCCTTGCTTTGGGGAGGGAGACACGGCGGAGGTGGTTGCTGTGGGTGGGTGGCTCTTCGTGGCCCACGCCAGTCAAGGCCTTGCCCTTGAGGGCGCCCCGCAAGTGTGGCCCCGCGATGAGCCCGTTGAGCTGGTGGTGGAGGCGGTGCGGCGGGCACGGCGGGCGGTGGAGAGGTAGGCCTCCATCCCCGGCCTCGCCTTCTCCTTCTCCTTCCTCGGGCCTTCTCCTCCTCCTCCGCCCTTCCCCCTCCTCCTCTTCTTCCTCCTCTTCGGCGGCTCCTGGGAAGGGCGGAAGCAGCGAGGGAGGCGAGGAGGCGAGCAGGCTGCGACTAGGCCCCGGCGGTACCTCCGCCATGTCCTGGGAGAAAAGAAGAAAGAAAACACCTCCTCAGTCAACAAACACCTCCTCAAACGGCCCCTTCCGCACAGACACAGCCATCCTTTCCCTTCCGGGCAGATCCAACCCGGTTTTGTTCTCACCCCGAAGTCTCCTCAGCAGCGGCCGCGTCGCCTCCCGCTCGGCCGTAAAGCGAGGCAGAGGCTTCCTGTCAGGACCAGGCCGCGACCAAAGAGAGAGAGTGTGTGTGTGTGTGTGTGTTTTTACGGCGCCTCGCTTTACGGCTGGCTCGCGAGGAAAGAGGAAGAGGCGTGGCCTGAGGACGGATAGGAGGGGGCGTGGCCTCGCTTTCGGACCGGGCGGGGGAGTCGAGGAGGGGGCGGGGCTTCTCTTGAGGAGAAGGGGCGCGGCCTCGCTTTAGGACTGGGCGGGGGAGCCGAGGAGGAGGCTTTAGGAGTGAAGAAGGCAAGAGGGCGTGACTTCGCTTTAAAACAGGGCGGAGGAGCCGAGGAGGGGGCGTGGCCTCGCTTTAGTGAAGATGCCACAAGGGGCGTGGCCTCGCTTTAGAACTGGGAGGGGGAGCCGAGGAGGAGGCTTTAGGAGTGAAGGCTAGAAGAGGGCGTGGCCTCGCTTTAAAACAGGGCGGAGGAGCCGAGGAGGGGGCGTGGCCTAGCTTTAGGAGTGAAGAGAAGGGATTAGAAGGAGGCGTGGCCTCGCTTTAGGACAGGGCGAGGAGGGGGCGGGGCTTCACTTTAAGAGCAAAGAGAAGAGATAGAAGGGGGCGTGGCCTCGCTTGAGAAGAGAAGTAATAGGAGGCGTGGCCTCGCTTTAGGACGGCGCGGGGGGAGCCGAGGAGGGGGCGGGGCTTCGCTTTAGGAGCAAAGAGAAGGGCTAGAAGGAGGCGTGGCCTCGCTTTAGGACAGGGCGGGGGGAGCCGAGGAGGGGGCGGGGCTTCGCTTTAGGAGCAAAGAGAAGAGATAGAAGGGGGCGTGGCCTCGCTTGAGAAGAGAAGTAATAGGAGGCGTGGCCTCGCTTTAGGACGGGCGGGGGGAGCCGAGGAGGGGGCGGGGCTTCGCTTTAGGAGCAAAGAGAAGGGCTAGAAGGAGGCGTGGCCTCGCTTTAGGACAGGGCGAGGAGGGGGCGGGGCTTCGCTTTAGGAGCAAAGAGAAGAGATAGAAGGGGGCGTGGCCTCGCTTGAGAAGAGAAGTAATGGGAGGCGTGGCCTCGCTTTAGGACTGGGCGGGGGGAGCCGAGGAGGGGGCGGGGCTTCGCTTTAAGAGCAAAGAGAAGAGCTAGAAGGGGGCGTGGCTTCGTTTGAGAAGCCGGAATAGGAGGCGTGGCCTCACTCTCGGGCGGGGAGAAGCCGAGGAGAGGGCATGGCTTAGCTTAGAAGACAAGGGATAGCCTCGCTTGAGGAGAGAAGGAATAGGAGGCGTGGCCTCACTCTCAGGCGGGGAGGAGCCGAGGAGGGGGCGTGGCCTCTGCCGTTCCGCTCTCTCTCTCTCCCTCCCGCCGAGGAGGGGGCGTGGCTTAGCTTTAGAAGAGAAGGGATAGCCTCGCTTGAGGAGAAAAGGAATAGGAGGCGTGGGCTCACTCTCGGGCGGGGAGGAGCCGAGGAGGGGGCGTGGCTTAGCTTTAGGAGTGAAGGAAGGGCTGGAAGGGGGCGTGGCCTCGCTTTAGGACAGGGCGGGGGGAGCGAGGAGGGGGCGGGGCTTCGCTTTAGAAGAGAAGGGATAGGCTCGCTTGAGGAGAAAAGGAATAGGAGGCGTGGCTTCACTCTCAGGCGGGGAGGAGCCGAGGAGGGGGCGTGGCTTAGCTTTAGAAGAGAAGGGATAGGAACCACTCCCCCTCCTCGGCTCCTCCCCGCCCGAAAGCGAGGCCACGCCTCCTATTCCGCTTCTCAAGCGAGGCCCCGCCCCCTTCTAGCGCTTGAGGAGAAAAGGAATAGGAGGCGTGGCCTCACTCTCAGGCGGGGAGGAGCCGAAAAGGGGGCGTGGCATCTGCCGTTCCGCTCTCTCTCTCCTTCCCTCCCTCCCTCCGTTTCCATGGCGCCCGCTCGCGCTTTGCGGCTAACTCAGGCCACGCCGTAAAGGGGGAATCTCTTGGTTCCGTCCTTTGCTTCCTTGTCGTAAAAGGGACGCTTTTTGGCTCTCTCTACTTCTGAGGAAAGGCCCTTTTGTGAAGGCTGGGCAGAAGGTTGCGCAGGCGCAGAAGAGACACCAAATAGGCGGGAAGGATTTCTGAGGGGGAAAAAAAGGGAGGAAGGGCGGGTTCTAGCCCTCAACACGCTCCTCACTTGAGGGCCTGTAAGAGACACGTGTTCAGCACTCACACGTACATAAGTTTTCTACTTGATTTGCAAAAGGACTTTGCCTTAATCTTTATAGTTCTCATGGCTACTCGAGTAGGAAGGGAAGAAAAGGAAGGAAGGGAATGAAAAGAAAGAAGGGAATGAAAGAAGGAAAGTAAAGAAGTAAGGAAGGGAGGAAAATAAAAGAAAAAAGGAAAGGGAAGAAAGCACGAAGGGAAGAAAGAAGAAACAAAAGAACGAGGAAAGAAGGAGGGAAAGGAATGAAGGAAGGAACAAAAGAAGAGGAAGAAGGAAAAGGAAACAAGAAAGGGAAGGAGGGAGGGAGAGGAAGAAAGGCAAGTCAAGGAAGAAAAGGAGGGAAGGAACGAAGGCAGGAAGCAAAGGAAGGAATAAAGGGAAGGGAAGGAAGGGGGAAAGGAAAGAAAAGAAAGAAGGCAGGGAAGGAAGGAGGGAAAGGAAAGAAGGAATGGAAGAAAGGAAAGGCAGGGAAGGGAAGAACAAAAGGAAGGGGAGGAAAGGAACAAAAGAAAGAGAAGGAAGGAGGGAAATGAAAGAAGGAAGGGGAGGAAAAGAGGGAGGGAAGAAAGGAAAGAAAGGGAAGGAAAGAAAAAAAACGGAAGGAAGAAGGAAAGAAGGAGGAAAGGAAAGAAGGAAGAGAGGAAAGAAGGGGAAAGGAAGAAGGAAAGAGAAAGAAGGCGGGAAAGGAAAAGAGAAAGAAAGGAAGGGAGGGAAGGAAGAACAAAGAAGGAAGGAATGAGGGAAGAAAGAAGGAAGGAGGAAGAAAGAAAGGAGGGAAGAAGAAGAAAAGGGAAGGAAAGAAAAAGAAAAGGAAGGAAGGATAGAAAAGAAGGAGGGAGGAAAGGGAGGGAGGAAGGAAGGGGGAAAGGAAAGCGAGAAAGAAAAAAAGGCAGGGAAGGAAAGAAAAAGGGAGGGGAGAAAGGGAAAGAAAGAGGGAAAGGAAATAAGGAAGGGAGGAATGAAAGGGAAAGAAGGAGGGGGGGAAGGAAAGTAAAAGGAGGAAGGAGAGGAGGAAAGGGGGCAGGAAAAGGGGAAAGTCCGTTTGAGGGAGGGAAGGTAAGAGAGAAGAAACAAGGAACTGATGAGGAGATATTGGAAAAATAGATATTTAATTATGTAAAAATTGTATGTACTTTATAAGCACTGAAATGTATAGAAAAATCAGGCTCTCTCTCTGTATAGAAAGAATGCTAATGAACAAGCAAGCTGTTGTCCAGGCATAGCAAGAGAGGGGCTGAAGAGGGGGCATGTTATCTATACATTCCAGGAGAGAGATAAGCCTGTCCTAGGAGCAACAGGCTGGTACAACTAGGCTCTAAAAGGAGCGCCCTCCCTCCCTCCTGACAGGTCAAAGTGGGCTCCTTGATTGATGAATGTAAGATGCTCGCTCTTCAGAAAGACAGAGACATGCCCTTTGTATGTTGGAAGATAGAATTTGATGCTAAGGTGACGTAGAGAATGATGTCAATGTATGTAGACGCATGTTCTTTGCTTGCATTTGGAGACTATAAAAGCCATAGTCCGCACCTATTTCAGGGCTCTGGTGCTTTTGGACAGAACTCCTCACCAGAGTCTCAGCTGGAAATAAATCCGTACTTTTCTTTTCTCCGGAAAGGGTCTCTCTTGATAGTATCTCTCCTATCTATGCTGCAAAACAAAAGAAGAGGGAAGAAAAGGGGAAAAGAAAAGAAGGGTGAAGACAGAAAAAAGAGGGAAGGATGGGAAAATGTAGGGGAGGAATGAAAGAGAAAAGAAAGACAAAGGTATGAAAGAAGAAGACTTGAAGAGGAAAGGGGGAAAGTGTATGACAGAAAGCAAGGAAAAAAGAGAAGAAAGCAAGAAAGAAAGGGAAAGAAACAATGAAAGAAAAAAGTGGGGAGAAGTGTATGAAGGAAGTATGAAAAGTGCCACAAAGAAAAGGTATATGGGTCAACTTTGGCTCTCCAGGTGTTTTGGACTTCAACTCCCATAATTCGTAACAGCCGCTGTTAGGAATTGTGGGAGTTAAAGTCCAAAACACCTGGAGGGTCGAAATTTGCCCCTACATGATGTGGACGCAACAGTTGTGTGTAAAACCAATCAGGTGTTACCTCTTTAGAGCTCTCCAGTGCCTTCCGTGTTTGCTATCCCATCTCTTGGCCTGTTCAAGTGATGGTTGCTGTAGTCCAACGTATTTCAGAGGTCCTAAATTGGGAATGGATCTTAGGTGGTGTTATTATTGTTATTCCATGAGTTAGTACATAGCTTGGGCACCGTTGAGATTGAGCAAACCAACCACTGCCTCCTTTTAGAGTTTCCTTTGTGCAGAGTTCCTTAAGAAATCTCATCGGAAAAAAACTATTTTAAGTCTGCAGAGGTCATGTTCTCTTTTCCCTGAAGTCATAAAGCGGCTCGTGATGTCAGAATTGGCAGCTCTTGGCAGATTGCCTGTGCCGTTGTGCCCAAAGGTTTGCAAAGAGCCTGTTGTGTTGTAAAGAACCTGGCTTTGCAAAAAGCTCAGAGACTTCCCCTGGCACTCACTGAAGTGGCCAGATTGCTCGCGTGTGTTTACTGTTTACATTAGACCAGGCATGGGCAAACTCTGGCCCTCCAGGTGTTTTGTACTGGAACTTCTGCAATTCCTAACAGCTAGTAGGGGACAAGGGGAACAAGATATGGCTGCCCTCTACTGTCAATTTTGTTTGCTATGGTGAAAAAATTATTTGCAAATGCTGTGCTGTCGCATGCTGGGCCTGTGCATAAGACTGTAGACAGGACATAAATTCTGTGTGCCCAACGGGATGCCAGGGCTGCCTCAGATTAAAGGCCCTTGGATTTCCTTAAAACAGAGTTTTTAGATTGCTTAAAGGTTCAACAAAGTTCTTTACTAATGAAAACAAACAGGTACTTTAAGGCTTTCTTAACAGTCTATTGGCTCTTTCTCAAGCTTGTCCACAG